GCTTACAGCTTTAGATTTTTGTGATAATTACTACTCCTATTAGTTTGGCTTACTGGAACAAGATGCATTCCTCAAAAATGGCCTGAGCTGTTGAGCATGCTAAGGGGTTGGAAAACAGAGAAAAGCAGCATGATGAATGTTCCTTTGTCTAGTGATTTCTATTATGTTGCGGAAAACAACATTATCTTAGAAAAGTACATTGTTTACTTCTTCATATATAGCTATAGAATTTGCAAGTGTATCTGTTTTGGAGTAATTGTGAAATATCTGATGAACTTTGTTGTAGTTTGGCCATCCTGAGTGGATTGACTTCCCTAGAGAAGGAAATAATTGGAGTTATGACAAATGCAGACGCCAGTGGAACCTCGCGGATAGCGAACACTTGAGATACAAGGTTCAGTATTTTGCCTTGCAGCTTGTTAGATATCTATGAATCTTAGATTGCTTTCTTGTATGCCTACTTGGTTCAGGGGAGGATTGCTCATTTCATCTTTGTCTGCTTATTTTCCATAGACAAATTTCTCATTGTCTTTTAGAGATCTGTGTATTAAATTCATTTACAGACTTAATTTCCGGCTTACCGCCTTGTTTACTGCCAGTAAGCCCTTGTTGAGCAGTTTAAGTTGATTCTATGAAGCTATAATTTCAGGCTAGCAATCCACGTCCTGCTATAATTGTCGGATATTTTCGTTCTTTTTCTTTACATGAAGTAATACTAATTGAATGGCCTAATCTGATATCTATATTTCGTCCATCTTTCCTCCCCCTCATGTTGAAATGCAGTTCATGAGTGCATTTGACAGAGCCATGAATTCACTCGATGAAAAGTTCTCATTCCTTGCATCAGGAAAACAGATAGTAAGCAGCACGGATGAAGATAATAAGGTACAATCATCTAAAGTTCAAACGTTGGGTTTATGGGATGCAGTTGCTTCCTTATGTTCAAATAGGGTTTTGTGTGCGCATCACAGCACATCTTGAATTACTTTAGTTATTGAGTTTCCAAACAATCACTTTTATGAATGCTGTAATTCTATCCAAGGACAGGTAGAAACCGGTTCACATTCCTTTTTTTTTGACGATGGATTTCATGTTTATTTAATCTAATAGCTAGTCAGTTCGGTAATATCTCTACAGATTAGTTACTTCACTTTGCAGGTTGTTGTGTTTGAACGTGGCGATCTGGTATTTGTTTTCAACTTCCATCCAGAGAACACATATGAAGGGTATATAAGTTTTACTTATCATGAATTTATTGCTCTGCTTGTTGTTCAATGTTCTCAACAAGTTTTATGGCAAAGTTACTGAAACGAATCTATTTACACATTGTCTAATTTCACTCTTTTTCTGATCGTCACATGACGAAAGCAGGTATAAAGTTGGATGCGACTTGCCAGGGAAGTACAGAGTTGCACTGGATAGTGATGCTTGGGATTTTGGTGGCCATGGAAGAGTAAGGAGTTTGCTTGAATAACCTTTGATAATAATATAGCAGATGAAGGGGACACTTATCTCACAAGGAGAATTATTATTGTTTAATCCAACTGTCTAAGATTGGAGGTCTTTGAGCCTCCTGCCCCCCCCCCCCCCC